CACAGTTGATCGCTAATCTGGGCAGTTCCATACTATCATTCTAGAGTTTTCTTTAAAAGGTAACCAATTAATCGATGATAAAAAGTAATATCCTTCGATGCTTGTTTGTTGAAATGTTCATTATTAATTTAGAGGAAGGTTTCATTATTACTATTACAGATTACATTGGTGTAGTTCATGTATGTGAACTGGTAGAATATGATGCTTTTTGTTTGTCAGTTTTGTATTGAGATATTTGTACATACGTGATAAACTGATAAAAGTTTCTTCATTTTCTGTGCTATAAATAACATCAAATCTCTTTCAAAAAGTATTACCAAAAATGGAAACTAAATGAAAACTTTCCTTCTTGGTTCTATTAAAAAGTTCGAGCTTAATATTGAACAAAAGGTTCGATGTGAAATGTGTGATAGAGTTAGAGAGCGATTTTTCTTTTTTCAACATTAGCAGCGTAGTCATTGTGTGCTACTTGGTTCGACCCGATAATGGGATGTGCTTGATGAGGGTTCCTAAGCATATTGTGGCCTAACAGAATGAATTCATTGCTTGGCTTCCCAAGGGTCCTTTTCCTTCTGACCATTTTTATTGATTTCAAGCATCTGTTAGTGAATTAACTTATGGGAAAATATTGGACAATATATATATGGCACAACTTCTCCATTTTTATTTTATTTTTCAGGAAAGAAAAAGTATCGAACATGTGATTATACTTTGGTCGTCAAATTCCTCTTTATCGAAATGAGCGATGAACATAGTAACCCAGGTTTCATTCTCTTCAATGTATCATTTAAATGATCATGAAATAAACAGAAAAAGAGAGAGAGAGAGAAGTTAAATCTTTATGTAGAAAAATTACAAATATAAGATTTCATTTCCGGTATAGACGGATCTGATATTGTTTGTTTTGAAAGAATTATTGAACTCGTTCTTTAACATGATAAATCATAAGAAATGATGATAATCTTTTAAATGCATGATATTCCTATTTATTTTCATTTCAGTGGAAACGGAAGAAAAGCCGGCTGCAACTGCAGATGAGCCATCTACTGCAAAAATCATCGCATCTGTGCAAGCTATTGCTGTAGAAACGGGAACAAGGTTGAAATATTTGTAACACTTTACTTGTCGGATCTCTTTACACTAAACTTTTTGTTGATGTGTTCATTAGGTCATGGACCATTTATACTTTGTTGCTAGCCTTTGTCGATTATAGACATTTGTTATTTAGAAGTTCAGACATCGTCGATGTACTTGCCCGTGAAGCCGAAGATCTCCGGAAAAAACTGGAAGCGGAACGAAGAAAATTAAATGATGTTTCGAGTGAGTTTCTAAGAACATTGTTTGTCTTAAATAGTTTCTATTTGTATTTCTGATGAGTTGATTTTTTTAGGGTATCAGAAAATTTTGGCACTTCAATTCTTATTGTATTTTTTTTAATATCTTCACTAAAAGCAATCATTTAATGTTTAGCAGTGTAAGTAATTGTATTGGTTTATATTGTACTATTACTAATTCATTATTAAAATTTTCAAAATATATTCATTTTAGTTGAACAAGCAGCCGAAAGTCTTGAACCATTAACACAGTTAAGCATTAAACAACGTCGTATCTTAAAAGGACATGCTGGAAAAGTGCTTTGCATGGATTGGTCCTTAGATAAACGACATATTGTTTCCTCTTCACAGGTTCTTGTTTTCATAATAATAATTTGTACTACTGGTATATTTAAAATAATTGGTATATTTAGTTGATGTCCTTAGCTCGAAATTCTTAGCTCCAACTGTCCCATTGATCATAAAATTTCAATGTTTTTTTGTTTTCTAAATATCTGAATTTTTCTCTCAATTTTTTTGGTGATATTGTTATTAGGTGTAAATAAAAAATGACAACTTTCAAATGTGAAATTCCATTTCTTTTTTAAGTAGACTCTCATATTCATCCTAGATTTGAAAGATTTTTTTAATTCTTATGGTACATAGAGCATAGATCAGCTGTCAATACCAAAACGCGAATCCGTAGCAATCAAATTAACCGTTTCTGGCTCTACTTTGCAGAGGAAAACAAATTTCTTGATTTATTTTTTTACTCTTTTTCGAATTCAAAAAAGTCTAATTTTTTCAAAGGATTATTGGACAGAAATAATAACAAATAAACATTAGTTACTGAAGTTAGCAGAATTTTCTGTATTCTCTTTCATCTTCATTCTTCTTCTTCATCAAGTATAATTTTAAAAAAAACTAAGAAAGACATAATTTATTATCGCTATTTATTCAACACTTTAAAAAAAGATCTCTTTGGGCGAAAATGCGAACATGTAATTTTATATCAAAACCTCCGACTAAAAACTCTTACTAAAGGCAGGTTTATCGGCTTGTTGAATAATCACTCACATTTAAATTGGGTTGTTTAGGATGGAAAAGTAATTGTTTGGGATGGTTTTACAACAAACAAGGAACACGCGTTAACTATGCCGACAACATGGGTGATGGCCTGTGCTTATTCTCCTAGTGCGCAAATGATTGCTTGCGGGTATTTCAAAACTTGCAAATATTTCATTTTTAAATCCCATTATTTCTTTATGTCGTCAAAATTATTTTAGTTCAGAAAAAGTGAAAAGTTTTGATATAGGAAAGTAATCACTTGGAATTACTTTCCGAAATGACTGTTTTACTAGCTACTATTTTAATTCAAAATTGTAGTTCTCATTTCGAACTTTTGAAATACTAGCTTCATTATGTAACGGAACCGTTATTCATAAATTTGCATGCTAATTTAGAGGTTTGGATAATAAGTGTTCCGTGGTACCGCTAAGTTTTGAAGACGATATCTTGCAAAAAAAGCGATCTGTTGCGACGCATACAAGCTATATGTCATGCTGTATCTTTCTTAGATCTGATAATTTAGTAAGTTTTTTTATTTTGTATAGTCAAAACGAAAAATTTCTTCTTTTGTGTTTTTATGATACTGGAAAGGGTGGAAGAAGCAATTAAACTCAAACTGTTTTCTAAAATAAGAAGTGTTGAGATCACTTATTTACAGCTTCTGACTGGTAGTGGTGATTCAACATGTGCCATATGGGATGTGGAGAGTGGGCAGATGATTCAAAATTTCCATGGTCATATTGGTGATGTTTTTGCAGTTGATGTGCCAAAAAGCGATACTGGAAACATTTTTATTTCCGGGGTAAATTTAATTTTTGTTGTGATATCCATTTCTCTACATTTAAAAGAAGTTTTGAGAAAAAGAACTTGAATCTTTTAGCAGATCTGCTTTTCAAGAGCAAATCAGTATACTGATTAAATTTGTCCGACACCCGTGTGCTGCTGTGCTGCTATTTTCTAAAAATTTCGAGTTTGGGTTTTAAGGGAGCAGACAAGCATGCATTAGTTTGGGATATAAGAACCGGGCAATGTGTACAGAGTTTCGAAGGACATGAAGCAGATATCAATACAGTTAGATTTCATCCAAATGGTGATGCTTTTGCTACCGGCTCAGATGATGCTTCAGTAAGTTTATCATTAATTTCCTTTTTCATACTGTATCAATTCTCTCCTCAGTTATTAAAAAAAAATTTCTTGGATTATGCATTTCAAAATCTTGTGTAATTGATTACATTATAAGACCTTTTTATGTTTTAGTGTCGATTGTTTGATTTACGCGCTGATCGACAGGTGTGTGTTTACGAAAAAGAATCAGTTTTGTTTCCAGTGAATGGTATTGATTTCAGCTTGAGCGGTGAGTATTATCTTGATAATTACTGTCTTTAAAGCGGATAATAAAACGACAATTCAAAAATGTCACATTGACCAAGATCCTAAAGTTCAAGGCATTGCGTTGTTTTTTAATTATAATGAGACTAAAAACCAAGCATAAAATTTTTGAATCTTTTCTATAATAATGAAGTTTTTAGGTCGTATACTATTTGCTGGTTATGGTGATTATCGCGTTGGTGTGTGGGATTCACTAAAATGTGTACGCCATTCAGTTCTATACGGTCATGAAAATAGGATTTCGTGTCTGCGAACTAGTCCGGATGGCACTGCAATATGCACTGCCAGCTGGGATTGCACCATTCGTGTAATTTTTTTTCCCTAAGTCTTGTTTTATATATTGGAAATCTTCTTCAATGCATTAATAAAATACTTTGTTCCATTAATTGCAATGCGAGGTCAGTAAATTAACCTCATTTAGAATACCCACAATACCAGTCTGTATCTTTCAATCCCACTGTATGGTTTGAATAGACATTGCATCCTTATTTTTTTTCAGATATGGGCATGAAGACGACAGCTAGCTTTTCTTGCTGTTTAGTTCTGCTTCCATTTTTCACTGTCAGCATAAGAGTTCAGAGTACGAATAGCGGCTCATCCTTTAAATGCTTTCAGTGTTTATGCAACTGTCCATAACTTCCCAAAAAGTAATTTAAAATTTGACTATATTTATTTATGATTATTTATGACATTTCTGTAAGCATTTAACGTTATCCTGTATGTCACCCGAACAATAAGCATCGAGTTTTACCGCAGCAAATCTCCATTTATAAGGAATTTAATGGCACCTCTAGTATATGTCTCCGAATATTAAATTTCAATCACCAGGAAAGATAAACACATCGGGAATGTCGACCTAACCTCATCTCTACAAATAATTCAAAGACTTACTGCATTTGTTTTTATCTTTTACCTAGACTTCTGAATCATGCTATATCGTTACCACAATTTGCTACTAAATATATACATTTTTAGCATGATCTCAATCCTATTTAATTTATTAGCGATATTTTATTATTTCCACCCGGTCAGTAGTTCTTTTTTCTTTTTTTCAAAAAAATCACTCTGAAAATCATTAGATAACCATGATTAATGGTAAATAAAAAAACTATAAAGTTTCATGTATTTTGCTATGTACAACAAGAAAATACAAATAGCACAATGAAACTTCAAGAATACCAAAAAAATCAACAGCAAACAATAATAAAAACAATATGAAATAAAAGCAAACTAGCTGCAAAAGGGTTTTTTTTCCATCATATTCTTGGCACGCTTTTCTTCTGTAAATCCCTCTACTGCTTCTTCATACACATCGAACTCCGAATCAGATCCTACAGTTCTCACCTGAACAACTTGATAAGCCTATTAGATGTAAAAATAACCAGAGGTTTTCACCATATCTAATAAATCTTCAAATTATTCATTCTAATTCAATTTTGAAATCTCATAAAATTATGCACGAAGACAAAAGACAGATGCTTTACCTTTATATTTATTTCTATTAACTGCAAGATATATATCTCATTAAGTAGAACCAGAAAAAAAGTTGCATAGAGTAACCTCAACTGGCAATACTCGACCCGTCTTAACATTTTTGACCAATCTATAAATTTTGCCCATACTTCTTGATACTGTGAAGTGCTGTATTCCACAAAATGGTGTGCAAACCGTGCAGCTTACATGTCCTCCACCATGCTTTAGCTGAAATCAAGCAACATGAAAGATAAAGCTCAGAAGGGGATAATCTACCAATAAACACTGTATGCCCAGCCTATTTTAATGTTCATACAGATATCAAAAATTGTGCTTTAAAACCCTGTTTACGTCGCTCAGTTATCAAACAACTTGTCAGAGAAGGGTAAATGATTCAATTTATTATCTTTATTGTTTTAACTTGGAATAAACAAACCGTCAAAAGTCTGCTTTCAGGTATCTTATGAGGTCTTGCTCCTTTAGCCATAATAACATAAGTGAATGATCCCGTCTCAGTATTAAAAATCTGTTTCCGCCCATCAGCTCGTAATACATTCCATTGAGTTGTGAAACTGCATACGTCTCTGGAATAAGATGTACTTGACTTAACTAAATCCTTATTTAAAACAATTTCATACTGTACGAAGTGAAGTGGAAATAAAAATATGTAAAAGTTAGTTGTTAATTTAATGAATAAAGGAATCAACTTTTAATACACTGATCATAAGACTAACTTTGCTTTTTTCACATTTTTCGGGCATCCTTGATCATGTGGACATGGAGCAAACACATATCCAGGCTCTAATCTGGTTGGCAAAACTGTGTTTGGTGGGAGCTGAAACCAAATTAAAACAAATCCTTTCCTGCATGAATTTTTGCAGACACCATTCCTCAAGCAAACAAGAAAAAGTGGCATTATAGTCGATTGTTATCTAAACCGAAACAATTCAAGTGCACTGCGGGCATACTAGAATATGTGACACATATGTTGTGACAGTCCTGAAGCAGTGAAGTATTACGCCGTTCCTCAGATCTCAAACACTCCAAGCCTACCATATTTTTAATCAGATTATAACGCATATAATTCGATAACTGCTGATCAGTCAAAATACATTCTGCTTCTTCATTCAATATTTTTGCTTCCATTAGGACTTGCCGAGTTTGTTCTCGATGCAGTTCACAGCCACCCATGAGAATATAATCTCTGGCTTCCATCAAAGCATTGTAGCCACCTTTACAACTTCCGTCGATCAGTACCAAATACCTTGATAACAGTTATCAATAGATTTCTCAGAAAAATTCAAAATTTTCACTATTTTCCAATCCTTTCCAGCAATGTCTAAAATTTGCTTTCAATATTTTTGAAAGTACTCATCGGAAAGAAACAATAATCTAGAGATTATATCACTCACTTGTTAGTTCGCCTCCATAAATCTACTAGCAATTCAGTACGTGATTCTTCGGAAGCTAATTCAGCAAGAACACGATGAACAATTATCACATCAAAAGTATTATTTAATGAT